CAGAGGGGCAGGAGGACCTCTCTCGACCTACTAGCTACTCCCCTTTAATACACCCCAGGATGCCTTTGGCCTTCTTGGCCATGAGGGCACATTGCTGGCTCATGGTCATCCTGCTGCCCACCAGAACCCCCAGGTCCCTTTCCCCTACACTGCTCTCCAGCAGGTCAGTCCCCAACCTGTACTGGCAAAGTATATCCCAAGCGCAAACTCTACACTTGCCCTTGTTGAATTTCATAAGATTTCTCCCCACCCAGCCCTCCAGCCTGTCCAGGTCTCTCTGAATGGCAGCACAGCCTTCTGGTGTGTCAGCCACTCCTCCCAGTTTTGTATCATCAGCAAACTTGCTGACAGTGCTCTCTAATCCCTCATCCAGGTCATTGATGAATATACTGACCAGCAACGGCCCCAGTACTGACCCCTGAGGGACCCCACTAGACACAGGCCTCCACTTGGAAAGGTACCTTCCATCATCTGATCTTGACAGACAGCATTATGCCAAAAGTGACCAACACTGTCGTTGTTGCCTGACCTGTGCTGGTGTCCCCTCCAGAAGCAGGAGTTCTGCCTCTCTTCAGCCTCCCCCCACTGCTCCCCTCCCTGTGCCCACAGGACGGACTCCGCGGATCCATTTGGAAGCAGATCTGGGAAGCTATCCCAGTTAAGATTTTGCCAGATCAGTTTTCCCCAAAACCATCTCTCTGTGCCGGTTCATTGCAAAGTCTCATTAATGACTGTGCCAGGACTTCCCAACCCATACACACACCCTGAACATCACTGGAATTCAAATTTCTACTTAAAAGAATTGATTACTTTTTTAAGCCGAAGCTTATATTTTTGACATGTATACACAAACAGAAAATGGCCTTTCTAAAAATACCTGTACAAAGTCCCCTTTAACCTCATTCAGTTGTGCTTTTTAATGAAATTTTTTTTTTTAATGGGGAAGAGTTTATCTGTTTAAAATACAAATTATATATGAATTATATATGAAATATAAATTAAAATACAAAATTAAATTATGTTTAAAACTACCAAAACTATCCTTATATTTATCAAGCAGTGAAGTGCAAGTATTCAAGTTCTAGCTGCCCACTCTCAAACAGCTTTTGCAGTACTATGCATGTGTAGATAAATGATACAAGAAACACAGTTTAATTCCCTTTTCTTTATAAATAAGACAAACTTCACATTCGTTTGAATATTCACTATGCAAACAAGTAACAATATTTTTTACCACTAGGTGGTATCAATGCTTGAAAAATTGTTCGTTACCTGCCATTTTTTCTAGTGGTTATTCAGATTACAGTAAAAACTATCTGGATATTACACCTATGCAGATGCCAATTTTAACAAGCCTATTTCACTTTTAATGCACTTAAATGAGTATGTAAAACTCTATCAACACATTGCAAACCTTTCCTCAACTGGAACTTAGAGAAATTAACAGCAAGCACCATCTTCAAAATTAAATACATCACCAGCCAAGGACAAAATCAGTTCAGAAATTATGACTTGATTAAAATTACAAACATTAGCTCAGTTTGAAGTTTATTAAGACATAATTGGAGATGTAAATTCCAGTTTGTCTCTATCAAATACGTCTGAAGCCAGGTAAGTACTTCCCATTAATCCGTACTCCACAGCTATAAGACAAGAAGTAGAAGAAAACAGAGCTCTCTGCCCCTGACTTAGAACCGCCTGTGATCCCAAAATGATAGAAGTAATTAAAAAAAATACACTTAAACATGGACACATAAATTTTTTTTTATCAAGATTCCGAAAAGCAGTAAAACCACACACTCAGCTACAAGACGGCTCATAGATTTCTGTTGCACTGGTTTCAGCAGAACTGCACAGATTGAACTGAAAAACAAAACCAGATTCAGTAAGCTCCAGCACTGTATGTCCTTCAAGAAAAATAATCTCCCCACTGTAGTTTAACATAAGGGTTAGTCAATTCTAACGTATGCAAGCTACCTAAAAAAACTCCACAGTTCTTCCAAGAAACATCTTGTGACTTTTTCTAAACGCTAGTGACATCCAAAAAACCCCAGAGACTTAATTATCCTTTCTAGGAAGATGCCCTCATTGTATGTTTCGCTAATAAACAAAACCAAACTCTTGGCAAAGCTGACCAGAAGAGGACTAAAAGTATATTCTGCTGTCTTCTGACCCAGCAGATCTAACTTGCTATCCTTTAGTCTGTCAGATATCCTAATAATTACCGGGATTTTTTCTCATGAAAACACTGAAAATTCTAAGGAGGTTTATTTTAAAATGCAAGTGATCAAATGCTCACATCTAAGGTGCTGTCATCAAATGCTCTAACAAAACCACAGACACACTGCTTTTCCTTAGTGCTTTCTACTTCACAAATCTTATTTCTGAGAAGACACACCTAAAAAGCCACAGACAAACTCCTTGTGATTCGTGACCACTGTGCTCTCAGTGAAGGAGAATGGTTTGGGGATGTTTGGGTGGATTTTGGGGTGGGTTGTTTTTTGGGGGGGATGATTAGGGAAGTGGTGGGCTGGGCTTTTTGTTTGTGGGTTTCTTTGGTTTGGGGTTTTTTTTAGGCGGGAGGGATTATTTATTTGTGTTTTATCTGTTTTTAAAAGAAACCCTGCAAACCTACAACGATAGGCAACCATTTCCCCTACTGTGCTATCGACTTCTGAAACCAAAGTGCCATTTCCTCTGCCCTGCAGTTACCACTCCTTGAGGGTAATGCATTCAAAAGCTGACATAAAGCCAAAACAATTTATTGAGATAATTAAAATTTGATTTCCAGATTTTCCATGTAATCAAATCTACTCTTTTAGTATGTTTGCTACAACTACATGTCTACCTATATGCACGCACGAGTATAACATGACAATGTCAGATGTCATTTAAAATTATGTTTAGAAAGGAGTATTTTTATATCTGAGACTTGTTCAGCACTTGATAGATAATACCTACTTCAAAAAAGCTACACAGATTAAAAATAGAAAGATGAACATACATACACAATTCACATCTACGATCAACATTTTGCTTAGAAATGAAATCTGCAAATGAAAAGAATTATTTTGAAATAAAATAGAATTTACAAATAAACCTACAGGGAGGTTGGATTAAATGATCTCTACGGTCCCTTCCAGCCTAGGCCATTCTATGACTCTACATTATACAAGCCCTTAAAGAAGTGTCACTAGCTGTTCTTTTGTAAAACTTGCTTCCCTGACATATTGATAAACCACAAGTTTTCAAGGTTTTCAGACTACAAAAGATTTTTCTGGGTACAGAGACAGAAAGACACAGAAGTAGATGTGCTGCTTTTGGTTAAATCCTGGGTTTTACAAGTGGCAGTCCATGTAAACACTAAAAACATGCTTTGATATGGGTTTTTTGTGTTTTTTTTTTCCCCATGGTGAACTGACATTTTTCTTAGGATGGAATCACTAACATATTCTTGTCTAGCTGCCGCTTAAGTGTAACACCTTCTCAACCACTCTTTTACATTAAAATTATGAAAGCCGCAGGACTCTAAATACAGTAATCCCAAGCAAATAGAAATTCACCTAAAGTGAAATACCCCCCTACTATTACCTTATGGAATACTACTTCACAGCTTTATTGCAAAATACCAATGTGGACAAATTTGGCCATCCTTGATGCAAGTCAGTGAAAAGTAACTCAAAACTGGTAAATGAAATACTAATGTAACTGAACGTTGGAGAAGGTTTTTCTCTGACACACAGGTTAAAGCAACACCTAGCTACTGGACATACTCAAAACCTGAGACAACCTCCCCAGTGCCACAAGTTACTACAGGTATGAACCAACTTGCGTATACTCTGGTCATCACCTCAGTGGAGCATGAGAAGAACAGAGAATGCTAGGCATTAACATCTCATGTGGACAAAGCCAAAATTACATAATAAAAAGCAAAGAGAACTGAAGGCTTAAAACCCATACAAAATGTAAAGTTGTCACGTTCATGGACTTCAGTATTCGCTCAAATAGAGGGTGTGACTTTTTCCTGTGGAGGTACATATCATCTATAAAATCAAGATAGCTAGAGGGAACCCCCCCCACAAAACTCAATAAACGGAAAAAAATATTCACACACATTCTAACACAACAAGGGACATGAGGGCAGAAGCATGATTACCACTGATGAAAGACATCATTAGCTTGCCAACACTGTTAACTGTTACAGTACTTGAGAAGCCTGCACATGGCTTCAGAAGCACCTCGCTGCTGAGCACCTGGAAACATTCTCA